AACCAAAACAAAACCAAAGCCAAAAAAACACCAAACCCCTGAACAAAAAGGAAAGTTAACATTTCTGTTATTCCTTCTATAAGAGGTTGTCAGGAACCTTGAAACAAGGGATCATTCGCAGATTAAACAAGAGGTTCAAAACCACTGGAGGTTTCTTACAAGGATCCTGATTTTTTCCATCCAGCTGGTGCAGAGATTTGTTGGTTTTTGTGTTTTCAACTTTGATTCTGTACAGAACCAGGTGAAGTGAACGAGCAAAAATGAACTACACACACACATGTTCACACCAACACTTACTACAGGTCAAAGCAGGAACAAATACTTTCTATGACATCTGCCACACTCAGTTGCACCAATGCTTCACACAGCAAAATAGGCCTGGAACATCAAGACATTTTTCTAAGATAGAAGATATTGTCTGGGAACTGGCTTGCAACAGTTTAGCAGCCATGGTGAGCTCCTTTTCCTCTACTCCTGAAAAAGCTGATTATGAAAGGGAAATATTCAAATAAGTGCTCTCGGAACATTATAACAGAATTCAAGTTTAGCTCATAAGAAAGCTGGCAATACTGAAACGGAATGACTTAGAAGGTTCTTCTTCTAAGACAGAAAATCCACTTGCTTATCCACAGATTTAAAAGATTTCAGCAGAAACAAATTCACCATGGTAGGACATTTCCAATTTTGTAAAAATAATTGTTAGTGTTTAAAGGCCCCATAGAGAGCACAACAGCTGAAGCAGGCTGTGACTTTTTGGCTGTCCACCTTCTCCACAAAACATTTTCAAGTTTGTTTATACGTTGAACTTAAACCCAAAAAAGGGAACTTCTGTTTGCAAACGTAGCTACTCAGGATGTGGCTGTAGTTTCTCAATAATCATGTGACCTGCTTTAGCTCTGTTTTTTAGACACTGCAGAAAAGCAAAATTCAGGAAAAGCTGGGTGAAACCGCTCTGTTGTCACAACTTCATAATGACCTTACAAACAAGCTGGATATCAGCCCCAAGAGCATTTCTTCTCTTATGTAAGTAATCTAAATTAATTGCTTTCCATTCTTTTTTAGAGCTTTTCTTCCTGAGCTTGATAGACTTATTTATTACCCTACTTAATTGTATATATGTTGTTTAAAACCTTTTTTTCCTGGGAGAAAAAACATATGTTGAGCCAGAGGAGTTTTCTGCTGAGTTTTCTAGCTCACATTTCCTACTCTGGGTGCAAAGGGGTCAGCTTTGTGCAGTCCAGGAGGCACCATGAAGTGAAACGCCTGCAGCTTTGCAGATGAGACGGCAGAGCTGCTGAGCACCTTGTTTGCAGTGTGCAGGAAACGGTGCTTGAGCGGAGTGCGAGGGAGCACTGACTGTGTGCATGCTGACTGCACGCTGATTTTGGGCTCTGCAGCTCTCCCTAAGGAGCTGCCATGCTCCGGACTCACGCAGATTCCAATGCTCCCTAAAGGGTTTTTTTCTTTTTCCCACAACCTGTTTCTTATTTCATGCCTRCCCATCTCCACTGTGTGCGGGGAGGACGCGGGGCTCATGGCTCGGAAGCCTCCTCAGGGGTCACATTAATACTGGCACAGCGTGGGCTCACAGGGAGGAGGGAGCTGGCAGCAGCTCCACGGGCTCCCGCCGTCCCACGACGTTTGACAGGGGGCAGGCACCACCCTCTGGTGGCAAAAGCCTCAGCTTTAACCTAACGAGCTCCTCCCACACTGCTCTGCTTGATGCAGTCACAGGAAATCTCCATCTCCACTTGTGGGAAATCCCACCAGGGCAGTTTGCCCACCCGAGACATTCAGACCCATTATTCCAGTTTGTACCCRCTGGATATCGCTCCTGCCTCGCCTTGTGCAAAGCTGAGCACAGATCTGTAGCAGCGCTCTGCCCTGCACGAACACATTCTTAGCATGCACACAGCAATTTGTTACTCCGAGTTTTTGTTGGCCCTTCAACCCCACTGCACCCTTTTACAGACACTCCCAAGACTCCAAAGGAGTGGGGACTGACCACCACACAGGATATAGGTGAACATTCTCTGAAATAGGACATTTCCCTAGTGACAGACTAGTTACGGCTCAGCAATCACATGGCACAAGCCCCACTAATACAACAGCTTTTGCCTAGAGCAAAGAGATGCAGGCTCGGGAGCAGCAAGATTCGGAAATAGATATATTGCATACAGATACCTAGGGAAAATGCCTCCAGATATTCACAGAAAGGTACAGGCAAGCTACATTCCTTGAGATTAGAGCTCAAAAAATTCCTGTGTCAATGTAACAGTTACTCCTGTCCTCATCCTAATGTAAAGTGAAGGATTTTGCCTCTGAGTTCCAGTGAAAGGACTCATTTGCTTGGATGGCAACAGTGCCTATATTAAGAAATTTACATATGGCCGGAAAAATTTTGCTACACTAAGTACCAGCCAAAGTATTTTTCATTTTTATATGTTGGTTTTCAGGAATGGTTTCCAGCAGGATGATTGCCTATAACCACTTTGTTGTCGAGGACATTCCTTACTTCACTCTGAAGTTGCTCAGATACCGTTCCTTTTTTCTACTCTGCCTCTGGGTTTTCCCAGATATTTGCATCCTTTCATATTTGCTGCCTCAATTAAAAATGGCACTGCAATGCCAAAGGACCAGCCATTATCTGCTGCAATGAGGAGAAATATGAGTTATTGGAGGAAGGGAGAAGAAAGTCAAATGGAAACAGGAGGTAACAAGCAAGGGGACTAAGGCAAGCGCTGTGTACTGAGAAGGACGAGGCATAAATTGCTGTTTATCRGTGCAGGTTGTGGTCGGGAGTGGTTTACAATTCCTAATCAGGTGCGGAAATGGAGCTGTCCCTGCTTGCTTATGCCCCGATTGCACCCTGCACCATTCTCCTCTGGCGAGGAGCAGTGGTGTCGCACGGAGCACAGGRACAGGAGCGCGGCTCAGCTGCTGCTCCCTGCCTGSCTCAGCTCTGCAGCAGCTCCGKGAGGGCTAAGCCTGCCCAGAGTCACACCAAAAACCACAGACTGGAGCTGCCAGCCCAGCGTGCTTATCTGCGGCCCATCAGAGCTCAGCACTGTTCTTGCAGCGGTACCCACGGCGGCAGAGGTGTCTGCRGGCGGCGGTGAGCGCTCACCCAGCCCGGCCCCTCCCGCAGCACATCCACGGTCCCTCTCTCTCCATTGCCCCACTGTAACCATCCATCCTGCGGTCTCACCTCCAGACTCTCCAGCCCCCTCACCGGGATGYTCCCCAGCGGCTGGAGACGCCTCGTGGTGCTGCCAGAGCCCCCGGGACCATCTCCATCGCAGCGGAACTGCGCTCTGTGCCTGAGCTGGCACACAGCACAGGGCAAAGAGCAGCCTCACTCGCTTCGGGGCGCTTTGAAAAATGATCCACAGATCACTCGAGTGTGGATATCGAATCCATCTGCAAGGCTCTTCCACACAGACGCAAACACTCTGCAAGTCCGGAGGGTCTGTTCAAGATGTGAAGAGTCGGTCTGTGCACAGTCAGAAATCCAGCACTGGGACTAGAGCCCTGCAGAGTTTAAAGCATAATTTCTGACCCTCCTGAACCAGGAGGTTTGTACATCCCCAAAAGATCTAAATTGAAGATCAAGATCAAACAGAAAAACGTGTATTTGAATTAGTTAATGCACCTCTCCACCCAAGAAAAAAAGGAAACAAACAGAATCCACTTAACAGTATCTTCAAAAGCAAACAGTATTTAAGCAGCATCCAGTAAATGATATTAAACCTTAATTAATAGCTTTTKAAAGTATGAATTGAAAAAATTCTCTCTAGTCTTATGGGTTTTCAGATATTCCCCTCCTTTTTAAAAAAGAAACCAATAATTTTATTTCAATATATTAAACTGACCTACATAAAATATTCCATGTAAAATATTATTTCTGCCATAAAACACATAATCTGTCACTGGTTTAATTCCATTAGAAAGCATACATTAAGGTCTATGTATTATGATCATTAGGATAATAAAAGTAATACAATATCACTTTTATTATGTTTGAATTTAAAACATTCTTCATATGAGCACAAAGAATAATTAAGGGGATGGAAGAAAGGGTTTTTTTTTTAAATTTATAATGAAATAAAATCACAGGCGAGAGCAAAGACTGGTTTTTAATATGGAAAAACAGAAGCTATGCTTTTAATGTGCACTCTGTAGCCTTAGACCTTTTTTTCTCTTTAAATTTCCTTATCTTTATAACTTTGATTTTGGTCATTTAGTATAGCCAGTATAAGCATAGATTCTCTCCCCCTTGCAACTCCTTCTCTGAGTGCTGTGGAGGTTTTGGAGAGAAAACATTTCTGCTTGCATAAAATAAGTTTCCAGATACCTTCATTATGAAGAAAAGTTTGCCAAGAAAAAGGACTTTCAGCTCTGAATTATAGTTCCCAAAATACATTTGCTTTAAAACTCAAGATTTTTTTTTAAGCTCTTCTCCAGATTCTTGAAGCTTGGTTTGTAATTTATTAAAATTTGGGAATAGAAATGTGATTWAGACCAGGAAATAAAAACAAATCTGTTGTAAGTCACCCAATATATCAGATTTTTTTGACATAACCATGGAAGCCCCAGGGCCCACACTCAGCTCAAGAGTTTCAGCAGTCTGAAAAGCAGACTCAAGATGTATTTCTGTAAAGATACCAAAATGCCTTGTTTTGGAATGYAAGGACTATGCTTCAARTTYAAAAGCAGTCATGTTTCTAGCRTTAATTTTAMAGGACAACAAATYCAACAGATCCCAAAACCYCAAGAAAATAAAATTATTTCTCMACAAAAGGTGGAGGAGAGGAGCTGGGACTTACAACATTGGACACCTTAGCAGTAGGAAAACTGATTGCATTTAAGACATTAAGATTCTGCTTGGGTTTCAGCCAGACGATATTCCCTCCCAATTCCCTGCTATGGCAGGGAATGCCAATGAAAAGATGTTGCTGTGTGCAAAGCAGCTGTGTTCCCATCAGGTGCCGTGCATACCGCGGCCAAAGAGCAGTGACTTCATGTTCTGCCTGAAGCATGAGCAGGAGACAGAAATTTAGCAGGGTGCTGGTTTAGAATGCAGGAGTCATGCCTGCCTTTAAAGCCTGYTCCTGGTCCAGGCACCTCCTGCAGCTACACAGCACTTACATTATTTGGAGCTCCTTGAAAAGACTTTGGTGGAAATACCTTGCACTGCAAAAAAACCACTCAAGTGTACATTTTTAACAATTTCCTATAATAACAAAGCAACATTAAAATGAAACATGATCTCTCCTTTTTCTCAATTTTTTTTTTAAATGTTGATTCTGTTTCCTTTATGAAGAATATGGGAATAAATTGTTTTCTTCAAAGCCTCTCCATTCTGAGGGCCTGCCCACTGTGAGCATCAGGTAGCATGGCTCAGCGGCTTCATGGAGAAGGGAAGAGCCAGAAGGTGTCTTTTCCATGGGCAGGGAACTTGGTGCAGAAGTCTCTGAAAAGGTTTTCTCTCAGCCCACAAAGTTTGCTTCCAAGAGGAAAAGACTGTCTTCTCTGCCAGCAATAAATCACATTCTGAACACTAGAACTACAGGCAGGATTGGGATTCATGTTTTCTGGAAAGGGGTCTTGGGCTATGCCATATCCTCCCTCATTAGCATGTCTTATTAGCTTTAGYGCATCTGTAATCTAGTTCTTGATTTATAGCAACTTCTCTTGTATAGAACCCTCTGGCTTGCAGGGAGGAAACAATGGAATGGAAACAGTGCTAGGCAACATTAAATTTTGGAATTGTGTTTTCTATTCTGGTCAAAAACTGGCACAGTGCAGCCACATTTCTAGGATGCCCTCATTGACACGACTGAAAACATTTCACTACTGCAGGAAGCCTTGGATTTCATCTTAAGATTTATTAGGACCAACTATCCCCTTGGAAATAGCCAGAAATGCCATTCTGTTCAATGTCCTAACAGGCTAAAATATTTCCATTGCAGATCTTTGGAGAGCAAAGGTWTATGCTTCTGGAAACTTGGAGGAGGAAATAGGTGAGTTCATGGTAAGGTTTTCACGTGCAGACAGGAAGTTGGATGCAAAATGACAAAACYGAATGTCCCTAGAAGATTTTGTTCCATTTTTAGGTGCAGAAGATAAGCATCTGATTGYGAGTTTGCAGTTGCCTAGTGCTTCAGAGTCCTGTGTGTGACTGACACTGTAAATTACTTTGAGGTCAGCATGATGTGTGTAGGGWGGACAGAGTGGAACTCAGATCCTGAAGACAGGCACTCTCCTGCCTGACGTGTGAAGGAGGACACTTAYGGACACAGTGATGCAAAGTCACAACATGGCTCATAGTGTGCACTTAAAAATCCTGCTGCTTCTTCCCAGCAAAGACTTAGAGAGGCAGAAGAGCTGGGCAGGGCAGGAGGTGAGGGACTGGGAGGTGGATACGTGCATGTGCAGCTGTGGGAAACAGGAATGAGAGGCTGGAAGGATACAGAGTGACAAAGGAGTGGGGATGGGGATTTTGCTTTCAGGGGGAAAAGTAGAGCTCTAGCTCTAAAACTCAGCTGAGACCTGCACACGCCAAAGGCTGAAGTTATCCATTATCATAAAACACCCTTGAGCCCCTCAGCCACAGACTCACATGGCTTCATGGTATGCAGGAGTTTGAAAGAGTAGACTCAGACTCTTCTCAGCTACCTAGTCTGGCTCAGCATTTATTTTTGGGGATGCATTCAAACTTTTTCACATCTGAAAGTCAAAGAATGTAATTGTTACTCAATGGTGTATGCTCACTGACTTGTTTCAATATTTGCAGATTACACGTACGTTATTATAGGAGTTACTCTGGGAGCAGTTCTAGCAATCGGTTTCRTAGCAGTAATAATCTGCATGATCAAAACCAAAATGATTGACAGTGTGTTTGAAGGTAAGGAAAAACCACTCCTGATCCCTTATCCATAGATCTAGCTCTCCTCATCTTCTGATACAGCAGATCTGAACCTCAGTGTTAGCAACTGTGTATGTATAATAGCTGTGGTTTTCCTATGAAGAACTATTTTAAAAGTGTCTGTATTTCTGGACTGCCTAAAATGCAGATTCAAATTTTAGTAAAACCAGCTCTGCTCTTTAGCCTCAAAGTTGTTTCTCATGATACCCTGGGGAAATGCTACAACCAAACTCAAACCAGCCAAAGTATTAGCCAAGATACAGCTCTGAGAAAATTGTCATGAGATATTCTAGCTGGAAGAATCAAGAAGGGCTTTAGGAAAGTTTGCGTGACACAACTAATACCAAAGAGCTTTGCCTCAGAAAGGCTGGCTGGATCTTTTCCAGCTGTAACCATGTACTCCTGGTTGCCTCCTCACAACTTCTGTGAAGGCCTGTCACCACTCTGTTCCTTGTTTCTGAACTAACTAACCACATTTTCCTCTTCTCACTTTAGAATCAGATGGCAAAATGGATAGAAGGTAAGAGTCAATGTGTTTTCTGTGGCAGTTTTGCACAACTTTTAATTTCTCTCTCTCGTTATGCATGATGCTTCCCCATGTTTGAATGATTGCACATAACACACATGGTAAACCTCTAGAGGACTGGGACACCTAGTGAATCTGCATGGGAAAAGGAATTTCTTGTAACAGCATTTTAACATTTCTGAAACATGCCAAACCCAGAAGGCTGAGGTTTTTTTTTTTTAATTAAAATCCTTCAAACACTTGCGATGAAGCTTCTTTTTTTTTTGTTTGACTATGTATAATAACAGCAAACTGTGGGTAAATGGCTTCCTCTAAGGATACTGGGTCAGGATCACAGTTCTGAGGACTCCCTTCACTGCARGCTCTCACAAGTCAAGGCCATGCAGCGATCGTTCCTGCTGGAAGAGATGCCTCTTTCCCCTTCACCTTCCTCCCCCTCAGCCAGAAAGAGGAAGGCCATTTTAGGGTTTGAGTGCCTGACCAGTTGAAGGGCAGAAGGGCAGTGCCAGCCCCCTTAGGCAATGGCCACTCTGCACCTTCCCCCAGGACAGGGATGTACACGAGCACAGACTCTGCACTGCCATTTCTCTGCTGGCTCACGGTAACCTACAGATGTGGACACTTTTCTGTGTCCCTTTGAGACATTTTATAAGTGACTAAAAAAATCCCAAACATTAATTAATGAGCATTCTCATCAAGTGAAGACAACAGCTGTATTYGAWGATCTCAGAAATGGTTTTTGGCCTSTCTCAGAGAGCTGGACAGAAGGATGTTCCCATCACAGCCATTCCCCATGAAGAGAGCACAGTATATGTAAACACTGAATTAAAGATCAAAGCAAGGACACCCCTTGCAGCAATTGCTTCAATGCTTTGTGTGCCCAACAAAGAAGGGCCCCAGTCCTGAAAAGTTGTTTTCCTAGGGAGACACTCCCCCAGCCTAACACTGCTAACTGGCACAAAATATTTCCTTTCTAGTAACACACCATTCTCTGACAAGACTGGCAGTTTCTGTGCATTAACCTAAAATAGATTAAGACTATGATAAGGTCAGAAGAACAAACCTAGAATACCTGGTAAACTCATGGTAGTTTCAGGGCACTATAGAGAGAGCAATGAATGGGAAAGTCATGAGAAAGAGCGAAGCCAGAACAGAAAAGCCAGAGCCCAGAGTCAAGAGAAAAGGGAATAAAGAGATGAGAGGGACAAAGACAAGAAGAGCTGCAGAAGGCAGTGGTAGATTTACTGCCTGGCTGAGATGCAGACGGTATGATCTATGAACTGTTCCACACTGGACTGCTCTAGCTCCCTTTGCTGTTTATTATGTGTCGTATTTTCCTTCAGAGACAGTCTGAACATTTATTATATCATCCTCAGATCTTTCTAGGGGATGTGACTGACTTTGTGGTGGCAGCAAAAATTTAACCACATTAATGGTGACCTTACACTGACCCCTCTGATGTTTCCTTTTCCCAGTCTACAGGCATTTGCTAAGAGGTAGAGGGAAGCTCCCAGTTTCATAACAAAATTCTGTTCTTAAGGCTGGAAGTGTGACACAATACACGAACATTTTTCCTTAGAGCCACTGACATTGAAAAGTGAGAGAAACTCTAATTCCACAATTTTTGGGGCAAAACTATTTATGTTAAAGATGATGCTTTTATGGCTAAGTAGAAAAAACCCAGAAAACCACCTCTTAATCAGTATACTTTTCAATTCTGCTGTGGTCAGAAATTTTCTAGCAAATCTTTGTTCTCATTCACTTCAGGACATCCAGGTATTACTCTGGTGGGTCACTGAGGGATTCTATAATGCTGRTATTAATCTGTGGAAACTGTATAGCCTTCTACTGATCGTGAGGAAACCTCCGGTGGTAAAAATACTACCAGAGCCATAGCAAACATTTAAAAATGCCCCTAGTAAACTAATCCTTAGTAGGATTTATTCAGGTCACCAGAGAGACATATGATAATTAGGTCTAAGTTTATTTTATCTACTTGCTTCAGTTCCCTAGGGAATTCCAATTTGTGGAATTTTTAGACCAGTGGCTTGTCCTAGAAAACCCTCTGAAAAAGTGAAGTCTATTATCTGAAATCACCAGATTTACTCCAAGCAGCCATATAGCCATCCTAACTCCCTCAGGGATAGGCAAACTGAAACCCTCAGTGTTAATCAAGGCACCATTCCTTTAGGATTGGAGAGCAGAACCGGCAAATCTTCTGCAGGCAACTTCATTTTCTACTTGACCAGTGATGATTATCAATGCTTGTTCAGGAAAAAAACAAACGTAGTCTAACTGATAGAACACTCAACCAAATTCACCTTCAGACAAATTTTGGTATAAATTTCACATCACTATTCCCACAAATGCCTTCAGCCACTCGGTATTTCCCTAGCTGGGAAACACCCTGAGTGGGCATCACCTGGCACTGCACTTTCACAGCTGAGGGAGTTGCTCAGTTTGTACCAGCTGAAGGCCTTATTGCAGATAATCATCCTCTGTGCCAGAACCCCAATTAGCTGGTGCTGAACCCACCAACCCACTCCAAGAACAGATTTTCACTAAAATCAGGAGCTATTTGGAAGGAGCCTCCCTTCATCATTTCCAAAATACTTAAAACACAAGTGTTTCTACAGCCACATGACACTGACAGCTCATTGTGAAATAATTAACAGCATTTACCACTTTATTTAGTCAGGTACATAACATTAAGATTTAAACAATCAATTCACAATGGGACRCCCTTAAACTCAATGGGATATTTACTAACACTTGAGAAGAGAAAGGCTTGAGGCAAGATTCTGTCAGCCAACAAACAGTAATTTAGATGTCAACTGACAATTATTTAATGTCCTCTTTTTTAATTAATAGCTCATGTCAGTATCAAATGCCATCTTGGTGTAAGCTTGGTAAATTATAATGCCTAAAAATTTCATGCAAGTTTAATGTATTCATAAAAATGTCTGGGCACATTTAATGCTGGCAATATTTTGAGTTAACTACAGTGCATGTCAGCCAGATTTATTTTGACAGGAGACAAAGAAAGAGACATACAGAGACAAGGAGAAGGGTGGAGAGACAGAAAATGTTTACTAAAAGGGAAAAGGTACATATTTGAAACCTGCTGCAAATGAATCTGTTGTCAACACATCCTGGGCAACATCACACACAAAATTCCCCATGACACTCACTGGGTTCTACACTATTCCATGAAAATCACTCAGGAGAAAACCAGGTTTTAAATGTAATACACAAGTTCTTCTGACATTTGATGGAAGAGAAGAGGAGTTTGGGAGCTGCTTGCCCAGTGTATTGGTGATTTTCTTTGCCTACCCTGAGCTGCATCTTAGATAKTCTCCTGTGTTTTCCCTCCTGACTTCTAAGGGACAAACTTCTCCCTCCTTTCCTAGACTGTGCTCGAGAAACACAGGATACTTCTGAGAATTGTAGCATTCTTTAGGTGAATGGAGGAGGTCTTGGAGTGYTACTGCACCTYGAAACCCTCTAATCTGTTCTAAAARWSTCTAAAAACAGTACAAYAAAATGCATAGGAAGTGGAAYAATCTACTTTGAAAATATAAACATCAGAGATGGATGGCATGGGAAAGACTAGGTTTGGGCAATCRTAYRCAGGTTTCAATGCTRAGCTGCAGTTTCAACTATCAGAACTGTGGCAGCCTCAACATCTGAACCAAGAGTCTTTTTCCTCGCAATTTATCATGTTCAGGTCTGAAGCCTGACAGGCAGGGACAGTGAACAAGATCTGATCGAAAAACATCCTGCAAATAATATTCTTCAAACAAGTTTAAAGTTAGATAGAAAGACAAACACCTTGTTTTCGAGATGAGAACAGATCTTTCTGATCCAAATAGTCCAACTTGCTCTATAACACTCTGAATTGCAGAATGCATCATTTAACAAACAGGAAGCCGAAAACACAGAGATGAGTCCCACCACCTGCAAATGAGAGACACAATCTGTCATCAGAGTGAGCTCACTAATAAACTTAACAGGAGATGTAGTTTTGATGCTAGAGTGGGTACTTGAGAAAGCCACAAGTCAAGTGGGAAACCTTTGGAAGATGGTCCCATAATTCACAAATCAAAATCCATAAATAAATACTGAAACTGAAAAAAAAGAGACTGGATGAATGGTGCACAAGGGAAAAGGGTCAGTGTGGAGAACACAAGGAACACAGGATGCTGGGCACTGAAATGCACCGCAGGCACTCAGAGTCTGTGCCAGCTATTCACAGGTGACATTACACTTTCAGCCTGCAGCCCAGCAGTGAGTTGCCTGCATCTATCTCTACTCTCCTAAAACAAGYCTGTTTTTTCTTTTCCTCTCCCAGGAATATCCCTTTTAAACCCTGCAGTCAATTTCATCTTTTTGTACCCGTAGCAGACCAGTCATGAATATCCAGCAGAATCTTTGACACCCCTGAGTGAATGGATTCTCTTTATATCCCTCAGTTATACCCTAAGCTATTCTTTCACTTGCCACTCTTGTTTTCCCAAGCAGACCTCCAYAAGGTCTTTCATTCTGACAAGCAGTTATATTCTACAGAGTCCAATCATCAGATCAACAAAGTTTTTGTAAGTTGTTAGTGGTTTGCATATAAGGGAAAACAGAGAGAGCAACAACACAACCTCTMCAATGACCCAAATAAGCCTTGCAAAATCAGTCACAAATTATTCCTTTTTGGTCTGTTTTGGCTGCAGAGCCTCTATTCACATTGCCACCATGGCCAAAATCCAGTAGTGAAGAACTGTTGGGAGAATGGGAGTGGAAGAGTYCCAGGATACATCAGAACAGGCCCGGTTCCTTGCTCAGCACTGTAGGGATTGATGGGGATTGATGGGCTGTTGATAGACTCAAGGCTGCATTCTCTGCCTTACGTTTCTCCAGCAGGCATTCTGGGAACTGAGCTTAATGGAAAATATTTTAAAGCTTCACAAATACCATAATAATGCATGCTATTGTAAATAAACTATGAGTAGAGATAGTCTAAACCACTCCAAGGGTGTGTAAATGTTAAAAAATAGGCAAAAGCTCGCAGCAGAAATGTCCTTCTCAACTCCTTGCACATATACATTTGCATAAACAAAATGTCAATACCCATTCTGTGTTAGACAATAGACACCAGTGACTAGAGCAATAAACTGGTTTTTCTACCAAGTTCTGTCACTGCTCTGTCTAGCTGAACTTGTTCTTCTCAACAACCTTGGACAAGTCACTTGCTCAGGTTACCCCTTCCATAAAAAGAAATTAATCTTTTTATCACACACTTCAAAATCAAGGACATTAAGCTTTGCACTGTGCTAGGGACAGAAGGCTTCTAAAAGCAGCACTAAGACAATCTGTAGGCTCTCAGCTCCCTTAGCATCATTCCTGGATTGACAAACACACTGTATACAGACACACAGACTCCCCTAAAGACAGTTTTATATATATACACACACAAACACACACACACACACATATATATATATATATATATATATATATATATACACACAGACACATACATATGGCCTGAATTGCTAGGGTGAGATTAATTCATTAAATCTGTTTCCAGGACACAGCATACTTCTCTGATGCAAGCTACCAGCTTGATGGGCAGAGCCACACCACTTCTGGCTATTTTTGCTCCTCTCTGGCCACCCTCCACATTCCCTGGGAGGGCATCTGGCCCAGGATGCCTGTGCTCCTCTTGGATCTGGGGACTGCCTTTGTGGCTGACCTTTTCACAGCTGCCAAACAGGGAAGAATCCTTACTCCTTCCTAACCCTCTGCACAACTGTTTGAGGGAAGTCTTGAATAGCTCTAAACAATTTGATTGTAGGAGTTGGTGCCAAACCTGCTGAGAGAGGAGAATGCTTTCCTGGTAATATTCAGACACCTGTCAGAGGCAATTCCTTCCCCGGCCATCGTGGTCGCTGCTGGCAAACTTGCTGGTGCAAATGATTCCAGCAATAAACGAGTAATTCTACCCTTCCCTGGAGCTGCTGCAAGGCTGG